CTGTTTGCCGGAATTGATCGCCCGCGATCATTCGAGTTTCTAACCACACGGCCATTACGGCCAACTAAAGACCATTCGGCCTCTTGCTCACGATAAAATTGCGCTTCCTCACGGCACCACAAAGGACCACCATTACCCTAAAGGTTAGAAACTAGCTCAAAATCTTTCTGTACCATGCCGCTGCTACAAATTTGTTCAAATGCCATGTGGATGTGTTTCTATATATGCTTGTGCTTTTCTGTAGCTGTTGTGGCTGGTTTTCACTTGTGCCAATGTAAAGCATTGGATCTGCATTAGAGGCCGGGCAGATGAGAGGGGGCTGCAGAGGCAAGCCCCTAGATCGCAGTCCTGTGCTGCCAGTCTGCCGCGATCGACGCATCTGTCGGCCAGTGGTCGCGATTGTCGTCATCACACCACGTCACTCTGCGCTGGCCAGCCATCCCGATCGCCCTACATGCATGAAATTGATGGATTTTTGGATTATGTTTTTCAATCAGCAATGATGAACATGCATTTAGCACGTTAAAAGCAGGTTGTTTGTATCTCATAACTGCCCTTGCAATGGGACCTATAGAAGTAGTGGCAGAGGTACAATATTTTTTTCATAATTGTGTAAGTCTTACATGCAGGTTGTTTGTATCTCATAATTGTGTAAGTCTAACACAAAGCGTATTGATAGTTGAACCATGTCTACGTCCAACTGTTCCGAGTGTCTATTCATTTCTTTGTCTAATCTATGGATGTTTATTGGCTGTTATAAATAATTGGAATGACAGTTTCCAACATGCCTAAGCAGAGATTTGCTAGCACTTCAAAGGAAAGCTTGCCTCAATTCATAATTGTCTGTTGTTTTGTGACCGCAGCTTTGTACTCTACAGAGAAACATATGCAGGCATTTGGCAAATCTTCTACTTTATTTTCAGATTACATGTTGCACTTGATCAAACTTTTCTGGGTGCTCTTCCCTAACTAACCACATCCCTTCCACTTGAGAGCAGTGCGCATCTAAAGCAAAGGGCACCGGAGGAAATGAGAGCGTTTTTTGACTTCTACAATCAATGATCTAGATGACAACCCGTAGCACACGGCCATCAGTTCCTCGACTAATTTTGTAGGTTTCTTGTGTTTACCACAAGTTCTTTCTAGGAGTCATAATTTTCCTTTTCCCTTGTCTATTCCAGGAAGAGTGCTTACTGATATTCAGTATAATAGTTCAAATAGAGGGCGTCGGGTATTGAGTTAGGTGCTTGTGGTAAAAAAAAATCCCCGTTGCAACCCGTAGGTCGAGAATTTCTGCAGGTAATATCAATATAGGTTTGTTTGCTTGCTATTGTTGCAATTGTTATTTTAGGTTGGTTTGTTTGCTGCTGCTGTTACTTCATATTTATTGATATTGCTATTTTTTTCCAGTTCTACTTCTAAATTTCAGAATGAAGACGCAGGTCGATTTACTCAAAATCTCAAGTAGCAGTATACTCAAATCATCCATCTTTTTGTTTTCTCATCAGCGCCCTCTAAACTCGGGTAACTATGGTTTATAAAGAGGTGATATATTCTTCCGTTGCAACGCACGGGCATTTGTGCTAGTCTAGATAGAAAAACGCCTACCTGATGTTGACACACACACATTTGTAGAAAATATTAATGTTTAGGAAAGGCTTGTCTAAACATCTAATTGGTTTCTTATGCCCAGGCTCTTATGCCAAGGCACTATTTAGGTATATATAAGTTTCTTCCACTTTGGATGTTTCTTCATGTATATCATTTTATTTCTCTCTTGGTATAAGAGAAGTGAAATTAAAATCTGCCAATATTGGCTGGTTAATAACTAATATCCATTTCTCATCTTAGGCTCATCAGCACCTGGTTAAGAAAAAAATCTTAGAAAATACAAGAAAAAATCCAAAAAATCACATTTTTTGCATGGTAGATAATTTGGTGCGTGAGGTGCGCTCCAAATTTCAGATCTTTTGGACATATGAGTAGCTCACATCAAAGAGAACAAATTGGGACAAAACAATACATGAAGAATAAACTTTTTTACATATCCGAATTTGTCTTTTTTGGCAAGAGCTATTCAGATGTCCAAATGATTTGAAATTTGGGGCGCACCGCATGCACCAAATCATTTACTCACTCCGTCTCATAATAAAACATTTGGCATTTCTTGAAAAAATTTGTATTTATTTTGAATTTCTTTTTCTTTATCGGTGGTGCAGACGAACCTGGGTACCAAAATGCCGGCCCCGGTTAATAACATAATTACAATGGGTGGTCTTCTCCCACTGTCACATAACTTTTGTTTCGGGTAAGCTTTTTTCTTCTTCTTTTGAACAAAATTGTTTCGGGTAAGGTGGATAACATATCAAGGTTCTTTTTTAGGAAAACGTATCAAGGTTATGAGCCAAGTGCGCCGAGTATGGGCTAACAGGCTCGCACACCGGGCCTAGCTTAAAGCAACTCTAGCAGACCCCGCAAAAACTTGACCTGCAAAACGCGTTTGCAGTTTTACGAAGATCGCATTTGCGGGTCGAAAACTAGCGCGGCCGAACAGATACTGTAAAACAAACTGTAAAATTGGAATAAAAAGCTCCTTCCTCTAGTTCGGCCATTTCCGCCCCTTCCTCCAGCCGGTCGCGCCGGCCACGCTAGCCGCGCCCAACCCCATTGGCTGCGCCCCCTCAGCCGTAGGCCATGCCCCGTCGCCCGTCGGCCGCGCCCCATCGCCCATCGGTCGCGTCCCGTCCCTGCCGGTCGCGCCCCAACACGTGTCGGTCGCGCCCAGCCTCGCCGGCCACGCCCCGTCGCCTCCGTCGTCCGCGCCCAGCCTTGCCGGCCACGCCCCGTCGCCTCCGTCATCCGCGCCTTGCTCTATTGCGAGGCGAGCCGCGCCCCTTGCCTACCGCGTCGGGAGGATTTTGGCGGCCAGGCTGAGGTCATTGGAGGCCACGACAATGTCGAGCTCGTCCAATTCGAACCAGTGGCTATCGATTGCGGCGTCTAGCGGCCTTTTCCGATGTGCGGTGATGAATTCCGGCAAGTTTAGGGCGGATTCCGGTAAACTCCGCGGCGGTGTGTTTGCTCCAACGAGGTTTGACCGGTATACGGGGCCCCTATATTCAGCCTTCCAACCTCCAAAGATAAGGGTTTCGGATGTGCATTTACGATGACTCTTAAAAAAAATTGCGGGTTTGACCACTTGTGCGGGGTTGCTAAAGATGCTCTTTAGAGTGGGCTTCCGATTCGATCCCCCTGTTCTTTCATTCTCCATAATAAATAAAAAAAGAAGAATTCCCATTCGATCCCCATTCCAGCTGACCAAGTCGCCACCACCGAGCGTCCTCCACTTCGCGCCGCCACGTCCTTCACCGTCTATTCATACAGCGCCGTGGACGCCGGAGCCGCTGTCTCGCCTCCCGGCTGCGTACTACCAGGTCAGTGAGCAACCAACAATGCGTACATTTTACGATTACGGTGGGGACTCGTTCACCGCCGGCTGGGGCTGGGGCTAGGGCTGAGGGACGGCGGTAGGGGTAGCTCCGGCCGGCCGCAGGGGGTTGAGGCTGGGGGCCGCTGCTGCGGATTAAATCGTACGGCGGGAGATTACTTTACCGCTCCTTGTGCTTGATTCCCTTTTTTTTGCAGATTGAAAAACAGATTTGGAAGATTACTTTACTGTTCAGCGTAGGTGTATTTTCTTTGTTGGGTCTGCTCTCCGAATTCTGATAACCAATTCTTCTTCTTTATGGTGTGTTAGTGTTATGCTACTTTATGGCTGAAAATTAGAGCCTTTGATGGCAGTACAAGTGATACTAACAAATTGAGAGGCCAATGCTCTGTAAATGTGAATTTTCTTTCTTTTTCATTTGGATGCTAGCTAACTTGTGCAGGTAGGTAGCGGGAGGAAATACTACTTCCCAATTTACTAGACAATTGGTAACTCTGAGTGTCAATATACCACACCAGAATTTCATACTTTGGCCTGGTTTCAGCCAGATACAAAGAAATTCTATGTAAACTAAGCAGTTGGTACACAACAAATATGTACCCTAGTGGACGGATGCGAAAATGCTTTAACAGATACCTGAAAGACACTCAACCAAAATGAACAGCGATGGCCATCAGGCAGCAGGCCTTTCAGGCTGAACTTCATTTGTAATTGACCATGGCCATCAGTCATCATCGAGAATTATTGACTTATTGTATAATGGGTAGGAATTATTCTAGATATGCAAATAGATTGCCATGCTTTCTAACACCAGTTCTATTATTTGTGTGCCTCATGTTTAAGCAGAGCAGCGCTCGTCTTGTCCCTGTTGGGTACTGAACTTTTCTTTCCACATCCGAGGGTTGAACTCTTACTGACCACTATGTCGTATCTTGCAATAATGACGGCAATGTAGTTCCATGCTCAGTTTGTTTTCATGGTACGCTACTTTAGGGCTGAAAAAGGGCGTTGTACAATTGCAGATCTCAAATTTAAAGGTTTTGGGACAATTATGGTAATTTACTTCCATTTTCAGTTTTGGGACAACTTATGGGACTATTTTTCTAGAATGTTCAGTTTGTTCTTATGGTATGCTACTTGAGCGCTGGAAAAGGACATTGTTAGAATTAAAGTTTTCAAACTTACTTTTTTTTGCTCTTATCTGCTTCACCTTTCCCTTCCTGATAGAAGTATTTCCCTTTTTGACGAACAACAACACTTTCTTAATCTTCGTGCATAATAAAATGAATTTACTAGGTTGTTTGATGCTGCCAAAGAAAATAACTAGGTGAACATGTGTGTTTTTATTACCTTCTGACAGTATATCGATAATCCTGTAATGTATGGCTATGCCTTTATCTTTTGGTGACATCATTGGTTGGTAGATACATATGTGTCATCGTATGATGTAGCGGACCATCTTCTATCTCATGTATGTGTTCTCAAAATTTCTGCAGTGTGTATTTGATGAAATTTGACTTGTTGGATTCATGCAGCCCATCTGTTTGATAAAATGTCAACTGTGGTGTCAAGTTCCAAGAGGTCACGGGGACAAGCAGCAGACAGTGTTGACAGACTCAGCAGCCTCCCAGACCCGCTGCTCCATCTCGTGATGTCCTTCCTGCCAATGCCAGAAGTCGTGCGCACAAGCTTGCTCTCGCCAAGGTGGCGCTATCTATGGGCCTCTGTGCCGTTCATCCACCTAGATTACAAGGACTTTGTGAATGGTGGTGATGATCTAAAGAAGAGAAAATTTGATCAGAACAGGCTGCAGAAGTTTGGGGACCAGTTGCTACTCTTGCGTGATGGCACTCCGCCCCTGGATGAAGCTCGGATCTTCATCAGAAGTGGTCCAATTGCTGAGAAATGTTGTACGTGGATTCGTCATGCCATCAGGCATAAAGCTCGTCTGCTTCATGTTTATGGTCTCTCCATTGGAGAAGAAATATTTTTCGATAATAGATTGATGATTCCTTCTCAGCACCTGAAAAGAATCAGGCTCCAAATGGTCACTTTGGATAGCATATCCTTTAGGATGCTAAATTTTGACTTCCCTGCGCTTGAACATTTAGAGCTGCAAGATTGCAATGTCTGGCCCATGCAGAAGATCTCATCGAGGTCACTCAAGACTATACACATATCCCGCTGCGATTTCGAGGAAGGTCACGAGATTTGTGCTCCGAATCTAAACCATCTGTCTATCCTCGACTCATCATTTGGAGGTATCCTTGTAACTAGGGATCTGCATTCTCTAGTTGCAGTTTCAATATGTCTAGGCAATCAAGATAAAATATTGGATCACCGTGTATTTGATGGCCTATCACAAGTCACAACCTTGAAGTTGCATGCACCATTACCTGAGGTACGATGGATTGTGCTGTTCTTCATGTTTGTGCTCATCTACCTTGATATTGTCGATTGCCTTGGTAGGTTATTGCAGTATTAGCTGCCTCTTGATATCAATGCAAGACGCTACCTGCTTTGTTCTTTTAACCAACTACATTCCCCTCTTGTATGTTGTATTACTATTTTAACTACTGTCAATTTTATCTTTGGTGAACATGAAGCCCACACTCGAGAGGAGTTTGCAAACATGCCCGGTGTTCAGCAACCTTTCAAGCCTGGTGCTGGGTGAATGGTGCATGGCTTCCGACTTTGCTCCACTACTTCTCATTCTCCGCCGCTCGCCTAAACTAAAGTATCTGACCCTTAAGCTCGGCACGGTAATAGTGCTGTTTCAGATAAATCTGCCTATTTAGTGTGGGTTTCGTTCCTTTCCCTGGAACCTTGAGCTAATGTGCTACACTGCTGCCTTTTGACACGCTGAACGCCAGGAGCAGCGTGGAGAATGCAAGGCTGCTGTCTGTAATCCGTCACCAAGGGAGCAATCATCTTCGGGCGGTTATCCTAGCATCGAGAGGGCCGTGATCTACTGCGGCAGAGATGATCCGGGGGTGAGCGCACTGGTGAAGGTGCTGCTGCCGATCGTCATCCCACGCGGGGAGATCAGCATCAAAGGTCACTAGTAGTATCAGATGCATGCTCACGCACTGCCCCTGTTGCTGACTTGCTAGTGCGATGGATGTGTATGTATGTATGCATGTCAAGAGGTGTGTCAAGTTGTATCTTTTGTTAGTGCTATGGATGGAGCATCGTGTTAAGAACTGTTTTTTAGAGAAATTTGTATGGGTTTGAGAATATGAACAGTACCAGCAACTCTCTGCAAATTTTAAGTTTTCATACATTGTACTATGTCTTTGGTGCAGAAAACATGCAAGAACAAGGACACCATGATAGAGCTTTCCAAGGCTTGGCCATATGAACAAGTCCTTTATTTTTTATTTTTTATTTTTTGCTGTGGGAGTTTGTGAAAGTTGTGCGGAACTGGAGCAAACTAACTTAGCAGTCCATGAGACCTGAAACATCAATGCATGCCCATGACCACGGTTATACTCCCTCCGTTCCAAAATAGATAACCCAACTTTGTACTAACTTTGGTACAAATTTAGTACAAAGTTGGGTTATCTATTTTGGAACAGAGGGAGTAGTATGGATGCATAGTAATCATCTAAAAAAAGTTGGATCCTGAAGTTCAGTCTACAAATACAACCAAAAACCAATGGGTGGATTAATCTGTTGGACAGCTAGCTATGAAAGCTGATGATAAGCACAACTACTATAGCAGTCCTTTAAGAGCAATTTTACGGCAAGCGGCCATTTGAAGACACCCATCCGAAACCCTTGTCCCCCGCATCGCCTCCCCGAGCGAGGCAACCGGGGGCTCCTCCCCTTCCCCCCCTCCAGCATTCCCCCCCTCTCCGATCCCTCCTCCCGCCGCCGCCAGCGAGCGCCGCCAGGACCTGCCCGCGTGGTGCT